CTGCACCCGCCTGTCCCCCACGCCACTGCCTCTGATACAGAGGCAGTAGTGTGAGCCGATGGAGCCTGTGTGTAACCGTGCATGCTAACCATTGAGCCCAGGAACTCAGGAACTTGTCATAAGCTTTGTCTTTGCTCCTACAAAAATGTATATTTTACCTTAGGACAATTAATGTTTGAGAACTAATTTGAGGTAAAAATGTAGTGAAAAAAAGCTCTTTAATTTTATTGTGAAAGTACAGGACTGTGCCCCACCTCAGGTTGACCTTGATCCATGGTAAAACTGAAGTGTCTTGTCTTTATTGGAATAACTCAAATGTGTAAATTATCCCAAATGAAAAACAATACATTTGTAAGCACTTAAGAAGCCACAGATGCACATGGTGAACATTCATCCCTGCCCTATAACCACTTGCATTTGTTCCAGTTTTTCCCTTATTACAACAGCAGCATCAGGACACAGCTTGTAAATTACGGCGGTAAAGAGGAGGCAGAAGGGGCAAGTGTCTATCTCATATCAAGCTTCCATGGGAGTTAGGCACTAAACTGCTATTTCTGTCTTTGAAATTCCTGGTTCATTGTTTGAATGTGTCCACGCACTACTGCTGCACACTCCAACTCAAGCATTTATTTATCTGCAATAAAATTTTAATTTTTGAGCTGTTCTACAACACTTTGAAGTCAGCAATATTTACTGTGATGGCCCATAAGACAGATTGGGGAGGGGGATGAGAGGAAGAGAGCTTGGATCCGTTCATGGTACTCAGTGGAAGTCAACACATTCAGGGCTGGAAATCTGCCATTGTTTATAATTATCTGAGCCCTAATCTTCCCTAAGCTTTCAGGAATCAGCTCCCAACAATCTCAATCAGCTAGCCTTAAATTTGCAATTAAATTAAATACTGCTTTTCCCTCACCTCCACAAAAGTTTCCTCTGGGTTGTCACCCAGGACAAATCAATATGTACCACCATTTAAATTAGCCGAGCCTTCCTTTCCCTCACTGGAACCCTTGGTATATGTCTAGACTGCACTCTCCTTACAGTTGTGTGTAGTGTACAGATGTGGCTAGCTCCTTTAAAAGGTAAAAATAACAGGGTAGACACTGAGGCACTACTTAGGTGAGTAAGGCACTTCTAAACCCTCTGAGTATGTATTCAGGAATGTGCCCTTTACAGCTCTCTACATGCCCAAACAGTACCTCCCTGCCTACACTGGTATTTTTATCAGGGTAGTGGTCCTCTGCCTCAAAGGTGCTGAAGACTTTTCCTGTCAGAAGGACTTTTCAGAGTCTTTCTTGGCTGCAGAGAAAGACTCATGCAACAGGGAGCTAGCTGTCAGAACCAGCGGGCTATAGCAGCTTCCTGCTATAGCCTTGCTCTGCTTCCTCCCATCTACCAGAGCCTTTTGCTGGTATGTAGCTATGTACATCAGTAAGGATGCAGGCTGTGTACCTACACGTACCCTACACAACCTGATAAAGAGGTGCACAGTGTAGACGTAGCTTTAGAAGAAACATTTTTCAGATGGCCTCTACTGGGCATTTATGTGACTCTTGGTGCCTTCCAGAAATAGCCTTATGGATAGACTATTTGCACAGATCCACACCCAGGCCCAGTGACAGGGGGCCCCAGGGCCCAGTGATTTAAAGAGGCCCAGGGCTCTTTAAATCATCAATGCAGAGGGCTGGCTGCACTTGGCTCTGCCCCTTTCACCCAAGGCCATGCCCCTTCAGGGGAGCGTGGAGCTAGTTTCCCTCCCCCTCCCCAGGGGCCCACAGAGGTTGTCGGCTCTCCTGCCCATTCCCCATCCTACCAGAAAACAAAAAGCACTGGTTATGGGACAGCATTTGGATATTGCTGCTTCTTTTTTCAAACAAAGGGCTGTCTAGAGCATCCTCACAGACTGAGAACTGTAGAGGTTAAGACTCCTTTGAAGCAAAAAGAAATCCACTGATGAAAAAGCAATGCAACACACATTCCCATTTCTTTCAACATTTTGCTTTATTTTTCTTTTCAAAACCCACTAGTATTAGGAGAAAGAACCCAGAAATGTTCGTCCAGCTCAAGCAAGATAAATGAGTAGCAATCCAGTAGCTAAAAGGGCAGAGCCCTTAGCAAAATATGAAGGAAACAACATAGAATCACAGATGAAATCTCAGTGGAATTGTGAAAGGAAAGGAGAACAATGAGCAGCACATTAAATGGAGCTGAAGAAAGAAATTCAAAGAGGATAATGCTGCTTATAAGCCTTCAGAGATACAGAGATAAGATTTCTGAGCCACAGGGGAAACAGACTTCTGACCCATAAGGAGAATCTTGACAAAGATATGGAGAAACAGATATTTGTAAAGTAACCATCAGATTATAGAAGCTTTTTGAGCTTTTTTGCAGACTACATGCCAGCCTCAAAGTACCCTCACTATGGCCCTCCTCATTAGGGCTTTAAAAACAATATACAAGAACATTAACCATGTAACCTACGGGTAGGGAACCTTTTTTGGGTCAGGGACTGCTGACCCACAAAAAAAATCAGTAGGGTGTCGCACACAAGTGAGAAGCAAAAAGCCATCCTGTGGCAGAGTCCCGCACTTGCAGCTCGTCCCTCCTTACAGGGGGCTGGCGGCAAAGCAATGCGAGGTGGAAACCGTTGCCCCGCGCAGCTGAGCCAGGGCAGCAGAACAGCTCAACGCCGTTCCCACCAAACAGGGCTGGGGAGTCCCAGGAGGCGAGGCCCGGGGCATGCGCTGGTGGTGCCGCACAAGGGGCTGGCCCACCCGGTGTTGCTGGGCAACCGCACACCGCCCCAGCTGACAGAGCCGGTGCACTTGGGGCCGACCAGGGAGGCATGGTCGGGTGGCGCAGTACGTCCCCTACGGGCTGTGGGTGGGGTGACGTCAGCGGGGACGCCAAAGGCCAAACAGGGGCAGAGGCCAGGGGAATAAAAGGGAGGCTAGAGGAAACATGGGGGGTAAGGGGAAGGCGGACAAAGACGCGGGAGGAGAATAGACGGAGAAAGGAAGAAGGAGTTGAAGAGGGACTAAGACAGGAAAGGTCCAGGGTGCGGGAGACTGCCAACAAAAGGGCGTGGTATATTGAGGACGTCGGGAAAGAACACCCAGCGGACGTGGAGCCTGGTGAGCCAAGAGGGGGAGGATGCGGCCCAGGGTAGGGCTAGGGAGGTAAACCCATGGACTGATGAGTTAAGGGGCAGCACCCTGTCAGTCAGGTCGCAGGGGGAGGCTCGGCTGCCCCTCGACCTTATGGCCCTGGGTTGGGATTCGGGAGAGAGGGCGGGCCCGAGTCCTCCTTCCCCTCCTCTACTGCCTACCACTCCAGCCAACTGGAGCAGCGTCAGCAGTAGCAGCCAAGGGAGTAGTCCCACGAGGCCCGACGGGGCCAGTAACTGGAGGACTAGACTAATGAGACTCCCCAAACAAACAAACAAACAAACAAACAAAAAAATCTGTCACACTGTCACTGATGTGATCCCAGACTGAGAAGCAGAAAGATACTCCCCACATCCCCTCACATACCAGAGCCTCAGGGGCCCAAGTTAGTAGAGTTTATGTGCTGCAGCCCTACGGTAGGACAGTAGGGGGATTAGAGCACCAGCGTGGGCTCCCCAGTGCTTGGGAGAAACTCTGTGGCTCAGAGCCCAGATCCAGGCAAGCCAGGGGCCATATCGCCCCCTCTCCCCTGGCCTTTGGTTTTACCAAAGGTGGGAAACCTATCAAAATTCTATTGGTTATACAGCTAAATATTTTATCAGGGATGTAAGAGTAGGGAGGGAAGGAGGCTGGAGAGGTCTCCCACCTGCCCCTCTCTCAGGATCCCCGTAGTCAGGCCCTCTGCTGCGGGCTCCTGACTACCGCAGGCTCCTAGCAGCCAACCCCACCGCCGCAGGCTCCTGGCCACCACGGGCTCCCATCAAGCTCCCAGATGCCAGTTGGAACAGTTACACTCTTACATTTCTACTCATACACACAGGCAGATTTACCTACAGTGGCACATTATAGAACAACAACAACAACATGTATTAGATGGTCTCATTTTCTCCTTGTTCTATAGTTAGACTACAGCTAGAACTAAGAGAACATAACCCCAAGTACAGTGCATTTTCCACTCTTCACAGTTCCTAACAGTGGATTGACTATAGATCTTACATTGTTTACATTTATTTTGGAATGGTGCTGGCAGACAGTTATTGCAGCCAGGCTGTCCACTGTTATTAAATAAAGTTGCTTTTCTGTCCCTTTGTCATGATGTTACATGACAAATTGAAGTTATGTGACATTAAGAACAGGAATATAGAGCATAATCTTGGACAACTCACAGAAATTCTGAGAGACAAAGCCCAGTCCTACATGCACAGACTTCAGACACAGTTGTACCCGGGCTCTATGTAATACAGTTATGTGAAAATAAGCACTACGACTTCAATAAAAATCTTACAAGTGCAGTAACTCAGGGCACTTGGAAACACGGCACTGTCGTATGATCCCCTCTGGGTTATTTAATAATGCCATACCTTGCACCATATCATGTTGTCTAACCTGTCCTCTATTCTGCAAGTGGGTGGTGGAAATGGCAGTGATTCTTACCAGATTATGAAAGCTGAATCTCATACATTCTCAAAATATTTTTCCCAGTTTACCTAAATCCACTAAGTCAAGATCTGTTCTGGGTACTGTGAACAGGCAATCAGAGGCAGAGCAAGGATTGATTAGAACGCTCTTTGTGGAAATGGAGAAGCCATTCCTGAAATACAACACTTGGGACATTTTCACTGATTTAATATGTAATGGGATTTGCTATTTGGTGAAGGCAAAGCTCTGACGACAGTGTGCCCTGAAAAATGCATGTGATACAACACTACAACTCAGTGCTCTATAGGAAATAGCTAATAGATTCTTATTTCATATTCCAAGTCCATCTAACTATCCTTGACTTCAGCACTCAGTGCTCTGTAACTTGTCCATTCTCAATAGTCTTTTACTTACCATCAATTACAGCTACTTCTGCCTGCTGTCCATTCAACTCCCCTGGCTGTAGGTTCAGCTCCACTTGCTCTTCTGCTATGCCATTGATGTTGGATATCTGTCCATTCTTCTGTAAAATCTGTATTGGCAAGGGTAGGGTGGAGAAAGTAAAGGGGAGGGGGGAGAGAGAGAGAGAGAGGATGAAACGTATCAAGATCCATGGCATCATTCCTTCTCTATTTTTACAAAGTAAAATATTATTTACCGCTTCTACATATACATATATACACACACTATATGGCATTGAACCTGGAGCTGTCCCAGAGCTGCGGCTGCCAGGGAACAAGTAGCTCTTCCATGGCCTCCACTCAGCCTAACCTGGACTTGCCTCAGCCAGGAGACATGCATCCCTACCCTGGCTGCATCTGCTGCACACAGCTGCAACAGCCAAGGAGAGGTGCTTCTCACAGGCTCCAAGCTGCTGTGGTGAAGGAGGGCCGGGGTGGTCCTCTCTCCTGGGAGCAGCCTGCATACTGAACCCCTTATCCCCACCTCCACCCCAGAGCAATGATTTACATGATTCATGTACATTTTCGTTTTCCAACATGGCAGCAGTAAGAGACATAAATCTCTATGCGTGATTTTTGAATGCAGTGTTTTATATATGTCAGAACGGTGTTGTCTAATCGACTATATATTTGAAAGAGTTTGTCTGCGAGCAAGTTCAATCTGTCTCTCCATTTGTTCAAGAACTCTTCCTAACGACCAAATTTGGTATATAGCTTCATCTTCTCATAACTTAAAGCAAGGTATGGATTTGGTCATGCCAGGGGGACGAGAGGGAGGGCTGGGATGGGGCAAGCACCCATCCTTCACTGCCTCTGTATCAGGCTGGTCTCTGCATGAGCACGAACTCCTGCCTGCCACCCTCCACATGTAAATATGTAACCACTGAAAAATGTATCCAAAAACCACCCTTTGCTAAAATCCCTAATGGGGGGGACACAAAACCATACAGAAACAAGACAGAATCACCAGGCAGGTGAAAGGGACTGGCTGGAGGCATGACCCCTCCCACATCTGAGTCTGCCAAAGCCCTGAGCCCCCCATCTCTTAGGTGCTGTTTATAGGGCAGTGTTTCTTAAACTGTGCTCTACAACACACCGGTGTGCCACAAGGCAGTTGGAGGTGTGCCGCAGAGAATAACAGAATTGAAAATGGCCACCCTTAAAGGGGCAGGCAACTTTTTTTTTTTTTTTGCTCAATAACTTTCCCTCCAACCCTTCCCCCCACCACACACACTTTTTTTCTTCCCCTCAAGAAAAAATCCTTGGTGTTCCTCATAAAAAAAATTGTTTGGTGTTCCTTGGTCTTAAAAAGTTTAAGAAACACTATCATAGGGGGTGGGGCTGAAGTTTCCCCCAATTTATACAAGGACATTGCTGGCTGTTCTCTTTCCTCAGGGAGTGAGGGGAAAGTGCACGCTCCATTCCTCAATCTGGCAGAGGAGTGCAGGGGGCACATGAACCAGGATCTGCCCTGGTCGACATTCACCCCTCCCCAGCTACGCCTGCTGGAACACTTCTCTCCCCAGGTAGTCTGCTTACTTGAACCCCTCAGCCTCAGCTCCACCTGAGAGCAATGATTTAAATGAAGCATGCATATTTTCATTTTATTTTCCAAAAAAACCCCAAGAATTAATTGAATTAAAGACCAAAGCAACACCAGGGTCACTTAGGTTCTTAATTCAATTCATTTGGGGTTTTAGATTCTCTTTAGTTACAGATTTATTTTGCACATTTACATAGTTCTACTAGGGAAAAATTCCTTATTGTAGATAGGACCTTAGACTCTATCATGTGTCTAGTCTCATCCTATGCATAGAACATTTCCACTCCTAAACATACTCATTATCTCTTATCCTTCCCCTGAAATGCAAGAATCTGTGTGCAGCCTTTTAAATTCTAATGTAAAGGCTGGAGGAGGACAATTGTTTGCAATTGGAAGGCAAATGACTACTCCCTCACCTTGCTGAGCCCCACCTTGCCCAATGGAAACCAAGACAATGAAGTATGAATAATCATCTACTGAAAGTTGCTTAAAAAGCCCTGTGCTAACCATCCATTGGTATCAGTGGCAAGAAGAATCTTGTATGTGAGACTGTGTAGAACTGATCTGTTGGCTTATTTTGGTTTATATAGTAATTTCCCAGCTGAGACATCCCCCCTCCAAAGAATGGTTGCTTACAGAACCAAAGTGACTCTGCTATCTGCTTGTCAAGTTAGGAGCCACTTCTCCATTAGAATTTCTGCCATTCTGCGGATAGGGATACACAAGGTAGCCCCTGATGTACCTCTGTTTCTCAATGCTCAAGAAACCACGCCAGTTGTTGAAGTATGGTCTGTTAAATGAGAGAATTTGAGGAATACTCCTTAAGTCCCATGTCCTAAAGGGAGCCTCACAGCAAGAGATTAGTGTAGCTGGAACCTTAACCCGCTTCTGTAGCCAATGTCTGGATTATTAGATTATACTAATAATCTATTATTCGGCATATCTATCTTTGTCCTTAATACCAATCCTGTCCAAACCCAGCAGCTAGTGTCAGTGCAGAATTATTCCAGGCAAGTGGGTGTTTACTGGACTTGGCTACAGCATGAGTGCACTAGTCATTTTCTAGAGATGAACTGAACACTCATTACCAGGGACCTGAATGGTCGAAATGGTTCAGCTTTGGAACTTTCCCCCCTCTCCTCCTGTGCCCTCAAATGTGAAAAGTGTGAAACAGGTACTGAATGAGCAGAACCACCCTGGGGATTGAATCCTACTTGCTCCAGATGGCCAATGGCTGTGAAAAGTGAACATTGCAATCTCAATGGAGGTGTGTCTGTTTCTGTACTCTCTTTGAGAATAGCTGGAATGCATTTAATTCCATTCTTGCGGGAATGATTTAAGGACAGGACATCAGGAATTTAATTTCTCTCATGTCTCTATCACCACCTGTGAAAGTGAGAGATTAGCCTTCCTAGCTGGGGGGCGGAGGAGGAGGGAAAGTAGTGACTCCATCTGCATGGAATCCTTAGTGTGACTAAGGCTCTCAAAGCACTCTCTGCTGTGTAGAGATGTCTAACAATTAACACCACCAAACAGAAACATGCATGCATTATTTATATCACTGCCAAGCAGGTGCCTGGTCTGAACAACGGCATAGTAGCTAATGTACTCTCAGTTGCAGGTCAAGAGAGTCAGAGCATTAGCACAAGAAGTATGTTGTTGGAAGCAATAACCACAGCCATGGGAACACTAGCTCCACACATCTCTACCTTACACCAGCCTATAGGACAGGACCCAAATATGGGTCACCATTACATTTCACAAGGGTCGCCAGGTGTCTCCCCAGGTGGCTCTTAAGGAGCCATTCACACTTTTTTTTTTTATTTGCCCTGGGTCACCAAGTCTTCCTGAATTGTCAAAATGGGTCCCCATCTGCAAAGGGTTGGGAACCGCTGTCTCGGTCATCTACTTCCAATGAGTAGCAGTAGTTACTCCAGCAGGAGAGTGACAGAGCCATGTGTACACTGCCACTTATTCCAGCAAAACTTATGTCAGGTCATTTTTACACCTTGAGTGGCATAAGTATTGTCCTTGGTTTGTCTTCAGTACACTTTTATTTTGGTATAATGGTATCACTCAGGGGCATGAAAAATCCACTGACCCTGACTTTTTGGTTTGCTGGTAGGTGACCCACACTGGCTCCACCCCTTCCTCAAGGCCCAGCCCCCATTCCATCCTCTTCCCATCCCTGCTCTATCCTCTCCCCTGAGTCCTACTCTGCTGATGGCTCCCCTTCCCTTCTCTGCCCTCTTCTTCTGTCAGGGCAGTGTGTGGGGGGGGGGGGAGAGGAAAGGGAAGGGGACAGAGAGGAGCAGGCCCTGAAACAGCCCCGCTCAACAGGTGAGCAGCAGAATTGCTGAACAACTCATGGGGGTGCAGGACCAGCGGCTGAATACCTGATTGGTGTGCAGACCCCCGGCCACCAAAGCAGTGGCCCTGGCCAGCTCCGTGGGTATTGATCACCCCCTTTTTTCTCTGCAAGGACTGAGCCCCTGAACACTTATGGAGCTAACGCCTATCTCCAGAGTGACATGTTTACACAGACCATAATCTTCCATATAGACAGGATAGTGTCAACTAGAGAGCTTCTCCCACCAACAGCTACTGTGTCTCATGCAGGTGGACTTACTAAACTGACAGGAGAGCTCTCTCCCATTGGCTTAGAGTGTCTTCATGATGCACTACTGTGGCACAGCTGCGCACTGATTCACCTGCATCAATGTAAATTGTACTGTAGATCTGCCCTTAATATGAGTTTGAACCAGGTGCAACTTCATTAATCAAATTACATCCAAAGTTCCTGTTAGGGTAGAACCACACTGATACCCCACTGATCCTTTGCCAATTCTTGGGGGCTCCCACTTCAGGGAGAGCCAGTCATTACACTATGAGGGTCTCTAGGCATGTTACCTTTCTCCCCAAAGAGGGAAGAATGCAAAGTGGCATCCGTGTTTTACTGCACTTTGTGGTGGGGTGGTGGGGTGTAAGGAAAGAATTAATACAGCCCTTGTTGTTCATGATATTTTATAGTGTCATGGGAGAAGCAGAACATTAAATCTCCGTGACCCTCAGCCTGCACTTACGTCAAGCACATTGGTGGACAGTCCCCCTGCAAGGGCAGTTCCCCAGTCCCTAGTTCGCATTAGTCCCCAGAAGGAGAGATGTGATGCCTCCATCACTAAGGAGGTGGCCACTATGTTACCTTTTTGATCTGGAGCCTGAATCAGTGAGTTCTCACATTGGGCACTTGCCACAAAGAGGTGCCAGCAACTGATTGTCTGCCTCCACTCCACACAGACTACCCTAGAAGTTCAGCCAACCCATTACTGAGATTACGCAGGGAAAAAATAACCATCTACACAAGAGAAGTGCACTCCCATCCTCTTGTTAAAGCTCAACTAGCTGTACCTGGGGCTGATAACACGGCCCCCTCAGGAATCCAGCCATGTCCATATACTTTACAGTTGGCCTTCCTTCAAGCCCTATCCAACTTTTTTGTGGGTGAACAGTTTGCTAAGTACTATGCAC